ATCTTCTGGGTTTAGAAAACTTTCTTGATTTGTTAGCCACCGCTACGGTGTTGTCTGATCCACGTTTTCTTTCCTGATGTCTGATGTTTCGATGATTTTGCTTGTCCGGGTTGCCTCGGTCGTTTCTATCCGGGAACCTTTCTCGTGTCTTCTCCTCTGCAGTAATCATCTTTTCTACTGTGCGTCTGAATTCTTCATTGTTTCTCGGGTTTTCTTTGTAGAAGTCCTGAAATTGCCACCTTGCCATGATTCCATGAGAGAAAGCTTCGATTACTTCTCGTTCGGTGATGTCATGTACTTGAGCACGTAGTTCGTCAAATCGTTGATAGTAATTTCTGAGACTTTCGCCCCCTTTCTGCTTGAGTCCTTTTAATTCTGCGTGGGTGATGGGGTGTGTAATGATACCCGCGAAATTTTCACAGAAAACTCTTTGCAAGTCCTCCCAATTTCTGATTGACCCTGGATTTAATTTGTCGAACCATTGGAGGGGCATGGTTTCTAGGGCCATGGGAAAGAACAAGGTCTTGATATCGTCGTCTCCTCCGGCTAGTTCAATCGATTGCGAGTAAATCCTGAGCCACTGTCTTGGTTCGGTCTTGCCATCATATTTAGAGTGGTTGGATGGTTTGAACTTGTGAGGTAGTCATTTTGAAGCAAGTCTGTTTGCAAAACAGGGGAATCTATCGTGCGTTCTGGCTTCTTTGTATTCTGATTCAGCACCTCCTTCCAGCCAACTATTGTTTTGGTGAGAGTAGTTCTGCGAGGCTGTCTGAATGGGTGCTTCGCTTCTGATCTTTGGTTGTTCGACTCGATAGTTTTGACTGTGGTCCGTTCTACTTTCTCTGTTGTGACTTCCACTTGGTCTAAGTCTCTCGAAAGCGGACTTCCTTTGATTTTGATCTTCCTTCCTATGAGATGTTGACGTGGCAGGTAGTCTTGAGTGGGTCCTTTCATCGTGCGTCCTTAGAGCTGCTGACCGGAGAAGGTTTTGAGCTGTTTCTGTTTTTCGCTGGGACGTGATGTTGCTTCAAGTTCTTCTAGTGCTTCTCGAATTCTATTGTAGGGTGTATTTGTCGCGCGTCTTTCTTCGATTTCTTGTTCTGATTTTCTTCTGTTGTACTTGGCCAGATCTGACTCATATCTGATCCAAGCTTCATTATGCTGCCTAGCACGGTGTTGGCGTCCTTGTTTCAATTTGTTTCTTCTTTCTCTGGCTTGCTTCTGATTCTCGGTCTCACCATCGTGCCCCTGGATGAAGGGTGATATGTTGGACTCAGATTCATCCGATGACTTGATGTCGGGTGCTTCTGGGGGGACCAATGGTGATCGAGGACGGCAAACCATGAATACTTCTCGTGCGTGAATTGTTTTGTTATCGGTGTTGGTTTCCGCACTGTCGGAGTTGTTGATAACTTTAGTAGAGGCTTCAAGGTCACAGATCGAGTCTCCTTCTTGGTAGGGTAGAATTGTTGTTGTCATCGTGCCGACTAGTTGGGTACCGCTATCCTCAGGAACAGAACCTGGCCAGTGGACGATGTAGTCTTGAGATGTTATAGTTAGTACGAGACCTTCCTAAGCTCCTTTTAGTGGCATTCTGAGCACCGGATCGACGGACCCTTCGAGCCGTGCTTGATAAGATTTTGCCATGTTGTGGAGTCCGAACGGAAAAGGATCTGACTTCTTGAAAAGACTCTGAGTGTACTCTGAGTTGTATTCTTGATAGGCCGAGGCCACGTTCCGGAGTCCCACCGGAAAAGAACTCGATTTCTCGAAAGAACTCGGATAAGACTCCATCTCGGATACGAAGCCTGAGTTTGAATCGGATGCGCAAAGCCACGAAATCTGAGTTGGATCGGACATCACGAGCTGAATCTTCCGGCGAGTTGATCTATCGTAGTCGCCAAAATAGAAAGGTCTTCATGGTGATCCGAATCTTCGAGGAGACGGCTTTGGAGCTTGCCATTGTCGTTCGCCTCGCAGATCCATGAGCCGAAGATGAAGGTTGATCCCGTCGAGAAGATCATGTTGTCAAGGTCCATCGAGCTCTCGGATGCAAATTCGTCGAAAGCCTCTACCTGGCGTGCCAGCTGTCGATGTTTCACCACCGATAGCCTGCCACGGGGGTACCCGGGGCGGTTTGTTCGGGCTTCAGCGTATGCAGAACTTGACGGTAAACGCAAGAGACGGTCGATTTATCCTGGTTCGGACCCTCGATCGTGATCGAGTAATAGCCCTACGTCCAATCGGTGTTAGCCTTTGCGTTCGATTGATTGTAAAGTGTTCGTTCTCTCTAGGAACCTCGCCCTCCTTTATATAGTCAGGAGGTCAGGTCCTAGTCGGTTTATAATGAGAGTTTCTAGTATGATTACATGATAATAATACTACTAAGATTACATGGGAAGAATCCTAGTTGGACTAGATCTTCTTCCTTCCTTGCGGGGTATCACGTGGGTCCCGCATCGACAGCGCCCACTCCGATAATTCATGAGCCATTTTTTTCTCACTACCTGCTGTCGCTGCACCGACAGTGCAAGATACTGTGGTGCCGGCACCCGTTGTTATTCCGCTTGTGGCAACAATGAATGACGATGAAGAACCTATTCTTTAGGATCCTATAGAACCTATTGCCACACATGAAGGGGAGGCAACAACAGCCTCAAATAGAAGATGTGCCAAATGTGGAGGCCTCTAGAAGGTCTTAAAGAGTTAGAAAATCAGTTATTTCTACTGACTATGAAGTATACAACACTGAGGAATTTCAAATGGAGTTTGATCCCACCTCATTTGAAGAAGCCATGAGAAGTGATCATTCATCAAAGTGGCTTGAGGCCATGGAAGATGAAATGAAATCAATGAATGCCAATAAAGTTTGGGACTTGGAGATAATTTCTAAATGAGCCAAAACAGTAGGCTGTAAATGGGTCTACAAAACAAAACTTGACTCTCAAGGAAATATAGAGAGATATAAAGCGCGACTTGTGGCAAAAGGCTTTACGCAAAGAGAAGGGATTGATTACAATGAGATCTTTTCTCCAGTCTCATGTAAGGATTCCTTCAGAATCATAATGGCAATAGTGACACATTACGATTTAGAATTACATTAGATGGATGTAAAGACGGCATTTCTCAATGGGGACTTAGAGGAAAATGTTTACATGGCACAACCGAAAAGTTTTGTCATGGAAGGAAAGAATGAATGGGATGCCGCATAAAGAAATCCATTTATGGATTAAAATAAGCTTCAAGACAATGGTACTTGAAGTTTGATTAGACAATAAGGAATTTTGGGTTTAAAGAGAATGTAGAGGACAATTATGTCTATGCAAAGTTTAAGAATGGGAAGTTTATCTTCCTTATCCTGTATGTGGATGATATCTTACTTGCTAGTTGTGATGTCAGTCTACTACTGGAGACAAAGAATTTTTTGTCCTCAAAATTTGATATGAAAGATTTTGGTGAAGCTTCGTTCGTTCTAGGGATCGAGATCCACCGAGACAGAAGTAAAGGGGTATTAGGACTGTCACAAAAGGCATACATAGAAGAGGTCTTAAAGAAATTCAGTATGCATAAATGTAGTCCCTCACCTGCTCCTATAGTCAAGGGCGACAGATATGGGGATTTTCAATGCCCTAGGAATCAGTATGAGATCGATCAAATAAAAACGGTTCCATATGCTTCAGCTGTCGAAAGCTTGCAATATGCTCAAGTATGTACGCGCCCTGACTTGGCATTTGTTACCAGGTAACTTGGTAGATTCTAGAGCAATCTTAGAACAGAACACAGGAAATTAGTAAAGAAAATCTTGCGTTATTTGTAAGGAACGAAAAGCCTCATGATAATGTATAGAAGATCTGATTCACTCCATATAGTGGGATATTCAGGTTCTGATTATGTGGGAGATGATAGAAAATCCACGTCTGGATATGTATTCACTCTCGCAGGGAGAACTATTTTATGGAAAAGCTCAAAGCAAACCGTCACTATATCGTCCACAATGTATGCCGAGTTTGTAGCATGTTATGAGGCAACGGGGCAGGTGAATTAGCTAAAGAAGTTCATACCCGGTTTGAAGGTGGTTGACGACATCTATAGACCACTTAAGTTATACTGCGATAATAATCCGGCAGTACAGTATACGCACAACAATAAGTCAAGTGGTGCTGCCAAACACATTGACATAAAGTATTATGTTGTGAAAGATAAAGTCCGGGATCATGTCATAAGTCTTGAGCATATAAGTACCGAAAAGATGCTCGCGGATCCGCTTACAAAAGGCTTACCATCCAACATATTTAGAGAACATGTAGCTAGCATGGGTTTAAGAAAAAGCCTATAATTCCTGGATAAAAGAAGGCCCAAAGTTAAGTATCTATTTCAGAACAGAGTGGTGTGTTGTAGCTGTTAAATCTATCGGCAATTGACCGTGATGATGAAACATGCTTTATGCGCTAATCTGTAATGGAATGAACAAAAATAAATGATATGAAATTAAAAGATGGTAGTGAGATCAAGGAGGAGAATGTTAGTTGATCTCCGCCAACGGCCTATTGGGCCCTTGGATCTGCGTCTTGATCGGGGACGCCCAACCCTAATATGTTTGGTGGGCCACTGTCGCACAGCACTATAAAGAGAGGTGAGGATCAAGGCTCTAACTATGAGGTTGATCGGAGCCGCCGTGACCCACCAACAGAAAACCTAACCCGATCTAAAAAATGTGCTGCCAGCGACGGGAAGACCCACTGACTTCGCCACCACCAATCTCACTGTCGCCTCTGCATCGCCACTGGACCTCGCCACCACTACGCTGGACTCCACTGCGCCGAGCTACCACGACACCGGCGTCCAAGCCACTGCGGCGCCATGGACCGAATGATGACCTATGACGAGATACATCAACAGTTTCCCATATAAGTAAGATGCATCTACGTTTCAGAGGCACTGCGTTATCAACAATATCATCTTGGGGCCAAGCACCCAGTCAATACTCGATACCGGGCCACATGGCAAACCACACAGCTGCAAGCTTGCTGGTGCTATCCGCCTCCATGTGCCTTTGGACTATCGTGGCCACACAAGGCAACGACGAGGCCGTACTTCTCGCCATAAAGGTCGCGGCGATCCATGGTGGCTGCGGAGACGTGCTTGCTTCGTGGAACGGTAGCACAGGCGGTGGCGGATACTGCATCTGGGAGGGGGTGAGGTGCCGAGGCAGCAGGCAGCAGCCTCCAGTGGTGGCGCTGAGCCTACCCTCTCGCGGGCTCACCGGCGTCCTCTCCCCGGCGGTTGGTAACCTTTCGTCCCTGAGGTTTCGCAACTTGAGCTCCAACGCCCTCGGCGGGGCCATCCCTGCGAGCCTCGACCGCCTGCGCCACCTCCATACGCTTGACCTCAGCAACAACGCCTTCTCCGGTAAGCTCCCCGCCAACCTAAGCTCATGCACCGGCCTGGTGACCTTGCTCCTCCAGTCCAACCACCTCCGCGGAGACCTACCCGCTGAGCTCGGCAACAAGCTCACACGCCTCAAGACGCTCAAACTGTCTAAAAACAATCTCACTGGCACCATACCGGAGTCCCTAGGCAACTTGTCGTCGCTTCGTGTCATGTCCCTCGGATTCAACCAGCTACAAGGCACCATCCCTCGTAGCCTCGGCAACATCATAGGCCTCAAGAGCTTTGATCTCGCCTTCAACTACCTCTCTGGTGAGCCCCCACGCTCTCTGTACAACTTGTCGTCGTTGGAAGCATTGCAGATCCAAGGAAACAAGCTCCATGGAAGCATCCCTGCCGAAATTGGCAGCAGCTTTCCCAACATGTCGATTCTTAGCTTTTCTTTGAACCAGTTCACGGGGTCCATCCCCGCTTCACTCACTAACCTCACAACACTCCAGCGAATCGAACTCTCTCTAAATAGGCTCCGCGGGCGTGTGCCTCCGGCGCTGGGGAGACTGCAAGGTCTGCACCTCCTGTACTTGTTCCAAAACGATCTAGAAGCAGACGACAGGAAGGGGTGGGAATTCATCACTTCATTATCAAACTGTAGCCAGCTCCAGGATCTAAACATCGCTGACAAGTGACAACAGCTTCACAGGGCAGCTGCCAAGTTCAATAGGGAATCTCTCGACGACCCTGCAAATCCTCCATTTGGAACACCTCGACGGGATATCTGGAAGCATCCCTTCTGGTATTGGCAATCTAGTCAGCCTTGAAGTCCTCGGTTTTGGGTATACCTCCGTATCCGGTGTGATCCCAGATAGCATGGGCAAGCTAGGAAACTTGGTTCGGTTAGGTTTGTACGACACTCAAGTGTCAGGCCTCATACCGACATCTATTGGAAACCTCTCGAGGTTGACTGAATTATATGCACAGAATGCCAACCTGGAGGGTGCAATTCCAACAAGCTTAGGAAAACTGAAGAATCTAATATCCCTTGATCTAGCTAATAACCGTCTGAACAGTTCAATTCCTACGGAGATTTTCAAACTGCCACTCCTCTCCAAGTCCTTGGACTTGTCATCTAATTCACTGTCAGGCCCTCTTCCTTCTGAAGTCGGTAGCTTAGTGAACCTTAACAACATGTATCTATCTGGAAACCAATTATCTGGTGAGTTACCTGACAGCATTGGGGAGTGCATCATGCTACAAAAACTTTCGTTAGATAATAACTCATTAGAGGGACAAATACCTCAATCTCTGAAGAATATAAAGGATCTAGTTGCACTCGGCTTGTCCATGAATAAGTTGTCCGGTACTATTCCAGAAGGCATCGGTACCATTCGCAACCTTCAACTACTGGATCTAGCACACAATAACTTGTCAGGACCGATCCCAATATCGTTGCAGAACTTGACATCACTGTCAGAATTAGATCTGTCCTTCAATAATTTACAGGGGGGAGTGCCAAAAGAAGGAATATTCAGACTTGTCCATAACTTTTCAGTCACTGGAAATAATGAACTATGTGGTGGCATACCTCAGCTTCATTTACTACCATGCCACAAGAATTCTCTGAAAAAAAAACAAGAAAAGGCGAATGAAGTCTCTTACAATAGCTCTAGCAGGAACAGCAGCATTCCTGTTTTTGGCTTTTATGGTTGTTTTCTTTCGGTTGATCTACAAGAAGCATAGACAAAGGGTCAAAAGCCCATTCCAGCCACCAATAGTTGAGGAACAATATGAAAAAGTTTCTTACCATGCATTAGAAAATGGAACCAACGGATTTTCAGAAACCAATTTGCTTGGTAAAGGAAGCGTTGGGACAGTCTATAAATGCACTTTTCAAGATGAGGGAACTCTTGCTGCGGTCAAGGTTTTCAACCTTGAGCAATCTGGATCTAATAGAAGTTTTGTGGCTGAATGTGAAGCGCTGAGAAGGGTGCATCACCGTTGTCTCATAAAGATCATAACGTGTTGCTCAAGTATCAATCACCAAGGCCAAGAGTTCAAGGCTCTGGTTTTTGAGTTCATGCCAAATGGTAGCTTAAGTGATTGGCTTCATCCAAAATCTAGCATGCCCACAGTGACTAATACTCTCAGCATTGTACAAAGGCTCAACATTGCTGTAGATATCATGGATGGTTTGGATTATCTTCACAATCACTGTCAGCCACCAATCATTCATTGTGATCTCAAGCCAAGCAACATCCTTCTTGCAGAAGACATGAGTGCCCGAGTTGGAGACTTTGGCATATCAAGAATCCTTCCAGAAACTGCAAGCAACACCCTACAAAATTCAAACCGCACAATTGGAATAAGAGGCTCCTCCATTGGTTATGTTGCTCCAAGTGACTGAAATTGCTGTGTTTGTTTTTTATTCGTTATTCCTAGTTCTTTTATAAACTGGCTTGATCAATTCTTTTTTTCATAATAACAGAGTACGGTGAAGGGTCTTCTGTTTCAACTCTTGGAGATGTTTATAGCCTGGGCATATTGTTGCTTGAGATGTTCACGGGAAGGAGCCCGACTGATGATATTATTTAGAGGATCATTTGATTTGCATAAGTTTTCAGAGGATACTCTTCCAGAGAGAATCTGGGAGATAGTCGATACAACAATGTGGTTGCACACAAACACCAACGGTATCACCACAGCTGAAACTGAGAATTGCTTGGTTTCTATCGTTGCTCTTGGAATATCTTGCTCAAAGAAACAACCAAGAGAGAGGACGCCGATACAGGTTGCAGCCATCAAAATGCATGATATCAGAGATTCGTACTGCAAGTTTGCCAGATCTCTTGTGGTAGAACTCGAGGAGTAGGAACGACTCTTTGATGATTTTCAGCAATAGTGATAGTAAGACTTAAAATGGATAAGATGTGTGTGTGTGTGTGTATGATCACTTGCTTGAAATAACTGAAGATGTATATGACGCTTCAGCACAATCGTTCTTGTTTACATGTGATGTACGGAGTATGCAATTATAAAGGAATCCAAGTGAAAACATAACATGTCACTCCTTTCTGTGGAGAATTTTCATTAAGATGAGTGACTCAAAATCATTGTCACTCCTTTTTTTAACAATCTGCATTTGTTTACATTTGAAGCACCGGAATAGCAGAACAACAATGTCCATGCCGGAGTCCATAGATCACAGCTTCTTTGACATTCTCAAACTTCTACAGCGCAAGTGATGCCTAAACCTACTGCATCTAGGTAAGTCTGTAAGAAGCTTGGGACCATGTAAGTGGAAATGTGCGTATGAACAGAAAGTTCCCATTTTGTAGCCATACAGAATCACATTCAGAGAACAAGGCGCCTTCTCCACCCCCACCCCCCTCCTCCCCTCCCGCGACGGATTTGTAGAGGATTTCCACACTAAGATGTATGTCCTATCATTCTGCATTTGTTTGCATCAGATATATGCAAGTATAAAATGACATTTAGTAACTGTGTTAGACAGATAAAATACAGGATTTTGCCGGTCATCACTATGACTCTTTTGTAGAGAATTGTCAATAAGATATGTGAGCAACCCTATGAAAGCTGAAAATTTCTCATACCACAAAGGCCCAAAACTAATCCAGAACCGATGAACTAAAGCATGCAGCAGACACTCCATAAAGCAACTAACAAACAAGTTGGTGGAATACCTCAGCTTCACTGGGCATCATGTCCCATGAACAACACAGCTAAGTACCAAAAGTAAGTGTTTTTAGAATTTAGAGATCTAAATTATGTATGTGGTGGATACCCAGCTTCACTTGGCTTCATGTCCCACAGTCGTAGTCAAACAGCTCTTGCAAGGACAGGAGCAGTAGTGAGGTGTGTTTTTTTTGCCTCTATTCCACTGATCTGCAAGAACATCACAGAAAGGCGGAAGTGTCAAAAAAAACCTGGAGTAATTGAGGAAAAGTATCAGAAAGTTTTGTACCAAGCATTATCAAGAGGAAAAGTTTCTTGCTGTCTCAGAACCAAGTTTGCTTGGGAAAAGGTATGGCATGGTCTACAGATGCACCTTCAAAGTTTGAATGGCGAGCATGCAAGTATAGTTGATTACATGTACCAGCATGAAGAAGGAACAATAACTACTGCAGAAATTTCACATTTATAAGCACCGCAGGAAAGAGTTAAAATGAAGTAATGCCAGTAGCAAGACAACACTTCTGTTCCAGAGATTTGACGCATACTAGACTACTAGTTCTTTGCATAGTACTCATCAATTGACATCAAAGAACAAATCAATCACACAAAATTGCACTATATACAAATGTAAGACATAACAAGAGACCAGCAAGCAGTAGAAACCATAATTACTCCAGAAATTGCCCAGTCCAGAGCATTAAACAAAATTCACATTTCAAACCAAGCAATATTGCTTACCAGTGCATTAAATCATGAACAGTCTGGTCAGGTGGTAAATTTTCACAAAACAATGATAAGTTTCATGATAAGTGCATTAAATCATGAACAGTCTGGTCAGAAACAAAGTAGAACAGGGACCATTATTCCAGATCCAGACCTGGAGTTGTGTTCAAAAGGCCCTACCCTCTACCTGCATGCTCTCAATATTTTAAAGGCCAGGTTTCTTTGCAAAAAGCCAAAAACTTGGATCTCAAATCTCACCAGACTCAGAACCACACTGGTGAGCTACAACTCCAGAAAGGCATAACTGTGAGTATCAAGAACTTTGAATCCAATAGATAAATTAAGATGGAAATCAAAACAAATTACTGCTCCAAGAAATTATACACATTCCAAGCAGCCATTTAATTTTCAGTTTGAACAAAACATCAAAGTAACCACTAATTTTCACCAATAAGACAATAACAAATAATACAACATCCAGGGTTCATATCGAACAGTCCTGAAATCTGGGTCAACCCAGAATCCAACTATTGCAGTACAGAACATGGGAAAATTTGGAATATCTGGCATTCTGACTACTGTCATTAGGCTTGCTCATTAAGCTCTAAAGTGACACTGCAGATGAAGTATAACCATGCTGGGCACAGCAAGGATGAACGGTGCGATTAAATTAATACTTTGTATATGGGAAAAAATACTTATCAGATTTTACTTTGCATGGTCTTTGATGCATAACTTTGGCCACTAATTCTTCTAAACATCTCGATGAACATTTAAAACAACAGTGGACATCAATGCTGAAGGTTGAACAGGATGAATATCTTGCCATCTGTTTTGTTTTGTAAGGGCAGTTCGTGAGTGGCGGAAGATGGAAACAAAAAGAGAAGCTTCATGTCCATGAAGCTGACATTCAGGAGTGTGTCCAACAAAGATGCTGGTAGCTTCACGTCCATGAAGATGAAGCTGACATTCAGAAGAGTACCCAACAAATAGGCTGGTGCAGCATGATCCTTTGAAAGAACAAGGTAAACAAGGTATTCAGTTAGCAATTTAGCATATCATTACCATATTTATGTTCCTCTGAAACATCATCAGAGAATTGTAAAATATCGATTAAATTTTATCATAGGTTTCAGAATTTGAAGCACTATAATAGCAGAACAGCAGTGTCCATGCAGGAGTCCATAGATCACAGCGTCCACATTATCAAACTTCTACAGCGCAAATGATGCCTAAATCTACTGCATCTGCATATAGGTAAATGTGTAAGAAGCTTGAGACCAAATGATGCCTGAATCTACTGCATCTGCATCTAGGTAAATGTGTAAGAAGCTTGAGACCATGTAAGTGGAAACATGGTTATGAACATAAGGTTCCAAATTTGGAGCTCTACAGAATCACATTTCAAGACAGAATCACATTTCAAGGCACCGGAAGACAAGTAATTCAACTAGAAACTAGCAAACAGTTTGGTATATATTGTTGTGCGTTTGGTATATATAGTTGTGCATGTATAATTATCAGTTGAATGCCAGGCATATGATAATTACACGGTAAGAGCATCAAACCGTGACAGGAATCAAATGTAGAACAATCACCACGACTATTCCAGAATCCAGATCCATGACAAACAGTATTCCAAAAGCATAACCAGTTCACATCATTTCTTGCCGCATCACAACTACACACAGATCATCCATCGATTTCAAGTTCGAACTTGCAACTACTACTGCTACCACTATCCCTACTAGGCAGACGAGCCAGCCCACAACTACCAACGCCACCTAGTAGCTAATACCACCAACCTAAGATGAGGTGAACTTGGTCACAGCCTTGGTGCCCTCGGAGACTGCGTGTTTGGCGAGCTCGCCGGGGAGGACGAGGCGGACGGAGGTCTGGATCTCACGGGAAGTGATGGTGGGCTTCTTGTTGTAGCGGGCGAGCTTCGCGGCCTCGCCAGCGAGCTTCTCGAAGATGTCGTTGATGAAGGAGTTCATGATGGACATGGCCTTGGAGGAGATGCCGATGTCGGGGTGCACCTGCTTCAGCACCTTGAAGATGTAGATCTTGTAGGTCTCCACCGACTTCTTGGCTTTCTTCTTGCCCTTCTTGTCGCCGCCCTCCTTGCCGGCCGACTTGCCCGCCGGGAGGCGCTTCTCCGCCTTGGGCTTCTTCCCCGCCGGGGTCTTCTCGGCTGCGGGCTCCTCCTCCGCTGGCTTCTTCGCCGCCGGCTTCTTCTCCGCCTTGGGCGCCATCGATGCGGCTGCTGGGGTTTCGCGGTGGGGTGTGATGCGGGAAAGGCTGCGACTGCGAAGGATTCGCTCGGTGGATTTCGATGGTTGAACAGGAGAGGGGTGCGGCGAATTTAACGGGACGGAGTAACTGGTGCTGATTGGTGGAAGAGGTGGTGCCGCGGATCGCTGACGTGGATGGGTGTGATTGTGCTAATGGACGGTGGAGATGTGTTTTGGAACGGATTGTTGACGTGGTCAAAGTTTACGGCGGGAGGAGACGGAGGGAAGTGGCTTTCGGCGCGCAGAGGTGGGCGGGCCGGACTGCCTTTCCTTCTTTTGATGGGTTCGTTTTGGCCTGGCCCAAGTTTTTTTTTGATAGGCCTGGCCCAACTTTCTACTATAGTACTCCTACGGAATACATAGTGGCCCACGGAGCCACTAATCAGCGAGAACATTCACTAAGATTTTAATCGAGCGAACAATCAGCTAGTTCCACAATTTTCCTTTTCTTGTTTTTGTAACTTTTTATTTTTGGAAAGTTATAAATTATTATATACATAAAAATTTTCAAGGCATAACTAATTACTATAACTTATATTCACAATTTTATTATAATATTTTACAGAACATAAGTTATCATCCGTCTATCATAACTTTTTTATACGGTTTTTATGTAATTTTAATGACAACTTATCATGGTAACTTTGTTATTGTTACATTATTTTATCGTAATAAATTTTCAACATAAATTTTA